ATGTGTCATGATTGTTGATGTCCATCAGCAATAATGTGTTATGATTGTTGATGTCCAGCATTAATAATGTGTCATGAGTGTTGATGTCCAGCAGCAATAATGTGTCACGATTGTTGATGTCCAAAATCAATAATGTGTCACAAGTGTTGATGTCCAGCATCAATAATGTATCATGATTGTTGATGTCCAGCAGTTCTCAACAACAAACTGCTTGCAAGGGCCATTTTTTAAAAATTGTCCTTTTCAAGCATAATTGGGGTTGTGACCTCATTCAACCACGTGGTAGTGTTTGTGGTAGTGTTCGTAGGTACTGGTAGTTAAGGTTATGTGTATAACATATTAACTTTTGTCTCTTGAATGTTTTTACCATTAAAGTACAATAAAAATAAATGATCAAATGTTATTTATACAACCCCCTATCTTGCTCTCAGCTGAACACAGTTCTCCAGTTGACTTATGTGGCAGCAACATTAGCTTCCCCTGTTTTTGATTTTGTTGGCCATCCCCTACTGCAGGGATTCATGTAAGTTCAAGGCCAGAGGGCTTCCAATTTGTATACTATTGATGTGTAAATATGTAGATTTCTCAGATGATAGCAAAGACATTTTTATAATTAAGTTATCATTAAATCCTTGTGCTAGCATCTATAAAAGGTATATGAAGAACAACAAACTTTTTTGTTGCTGTTTTGATGTTTGAAAACAATAATCAAATGTATGTGTAAATACAGACTACTCATTAAAAAAATAATGGCACAGGCCTGTAAAAGAACTTTTTGAGTATGTAAATTTATTCATGTTCCTAGAGAATCTATATATTAACTTTCTATCAACAAAGAGAGCATTTTATTAGTAATATCAACTTACAGATTACTCTATGGATATTAGTAATATCAACTTACAGATTGCCTTATGGATATTAGTAATATAAACTTACAGATTGCCCTATGGATATTAGCAATTCAATTTACAGATTGCTATATGGATATTAGTTATATAAACGTACAGATTACTCTATGGAGTAACTATTTAAAAGAGCACAAAATGTGCATAAAAATAAAATAACTGATTAAAAAGTCATATGGCGCATATTACTTTAGTAAGTAATACACATTTTTGGACAACATAAACTTGACAAATATTGTTGAATTTTATAGTTAATCATTAAATTATTTATGACTTATATGTCTGCTTGAAACATCTATTTACTATCATGCATTCACTGTTATTTCATGAAATTTACTGTTTGATAAATTTCTTATAGGTATCTGACTGCAGCAACTACATTCATGTCAGGAGTAGACTATGTTCTAACATGGCGCCGACGATTACATATCATCAAGAATAATTGAATGGTGAATTTAGTTTTACGTTATAAAGAATGAGAGGAAAGGTAATTTATGACATTTTGATTAGAATATAACTGCTGTGCTGGACTGAAACACCATGTCCTTGTGAACCTCTAGCATCACTATAAAATGTATGTATTTTCATTAATCATCTGTTCCGGGTTACTCTCAATTATTTTGGCGCATAATTTACGATTTTGAGATTTATTTTTTAATTTTATGCCAAGACCTGTCAGAACTACAATTTTAAGAGACCGGGTTGAAAATATATAAATTCCGGTAGTTTTTCCGATTTAAAATATTTTTAAAAATATATTTTTTCTGTAGCAAGTTTTATTTTCTTTCCACATTGAAAGGTGAATGAATCTAGAAATATGATTGGTTGGGGACTATCTATAATTATCTCACATTAACCCTAAGACTAAGAGGGAAAAGGGGTGGCGTTCATTTAGGAGAGTTTGTTTAAGGGTGTACCATGTGAGGGTCGAAATATTTAAGTCTATAAGAAATAACTTTGTTATGTTTTGTGAAAACTAGTTTTTTTTATTTTAAAAAAATGAAAGGCATGCTCAACTGTTCCGCATAGCAACAATAGATTTCTGCATATTTAGTAGGCTCTCAGAGGGCCTTGAAACCTATTTTTAGAATACACAATACAGCTCTACAATTTTTAATGCCCTCATTTAGTTCCAACAGTCCTCTTCCTTTCACCCATTTACTGCTTGTGGTATTTATCAGACTATAACTATAATAATATTTTAACAGGAAATAGGAATAGATATTATTTCTAATTTATTTTTTTTAACCAGTTTTTTCCTAAAAATAAATCTCAAGTTACTTTGTTGGTTTTGTAAATAAACGTCCTCAATTTTTAATTAATTCCCATTTCTTATTCTGAACGGACTTTGAGTTTTAACCACGCAAAATTTCATCAGTAACTTTATTTTTACCAGTGACAGACTGCGATAATGTGATCTGCGCATTCACCCAAATATTATTGCTGTCTATAGGAGATAAACGTCTGCAAAACAAAGTGACGGCAGATCAAATATAAACTTCAGTCATCTATCTACTTTTGGAAGTTACCTATTTTGAAGTCAGCTTAACTCGATCCCTTTAGTAATGCGATGTAAATAGTTATTTTCTACATTATATAAACTGTGTTTGTTTATTTACTATTAAGATACTGTATTATATGATTTTGAGACAATGTAAGATTTTAGGAGTTTGGGGGTAACCAGGTTTGGTAATTAAATATATGTTAAATGTTAATGTATTTTAAGGCATTCAGAAAAGTTAAAATACACTACACAACGAAAGTCTGTAGATAATATTTTTAAAAATTAATAAATTAAAACATATTTAAATTTCGACTGCATTCAATTCGAATCCTGATGCATTTTAAGAAATTTCTCTTTTTTATTGTTTTAACTCGTCTTTGAATTATTGATAGAAAATCTTTATTAAAATGTATTTTTTTACTTTTCATTTTTATTATTGAGCTTTTTCTTTATAGAATTAGAATGGTGAGCATTTTTAAAAACTGGAATTAAATATGTCATATCTGGCTGCTTTAATATTACAATCATAAATCATCCTGGATATAACACTAATTCGGAGTTAAATGGCTTTGGCCTCCAAAATTTCTTATTTTCATTTGCATATATCGGTAATATTAAGTAATTAAGTATTAAATATCACACGCAACACAATAAATCTAGTGTTACTTTAACACAGCATAGCTCACTAACCTAAGAGATTTAAACAATCAGTTATTTTAGCAAAATCACCTGTCATCCTACTTTTAAAAAATCACAATGTTCTTAGCATGGTTTCTGGCAGGGTTGCAGAAAACAGTGCATTTTAAGGACTCCAAGTGTCCTGTTGTAGGTCTCACTGTACAAAGAACAGAGTCTTTAACTTGCTAGCATAAAATGACCCCAAGTGTCCTGTTGTAGGTCTCACTGTACAAAGAACAGAGTCTTTAACTTCCTAGCATAAAATGACCCCAAGTGTCCTGTTGTAGGTCTCACTGTACAAAGAACAGAGTCTTTAACTTGCTAGCTTTGTTATGATTATTAATTGTATTCAACATGATGGCATTTAAATTGATGTAGTTATATGCCAGTGCCAGCTGCTTTTAAATGTGATTCAACATTCTCATGTTGCCCATTACACTTATTGAACGAAAATGTATATGATTTTTGGAAACAGAAAAATTCAACTTTTAAACCAAACCAGCCCAACATCCGGGCTGCATGTGGCCCACCAGCACCCACTTTGCAGCCCGCGAAGTAACAAATATTATTTTTTATTATTTTTTTCTAAATAGATATTTTCTTTCAGCCCGCACAAGTTTTTCATTAAGTATTACGCCTGCCTTACAATACTTACATTTGAAGTTGTGCAGGCCTGATGTAAATAAATCATAAATAACATATATCTTTTGTAAGTATCGCTGTTGAGTTGCGTTAGGTGTGATACCTGCATTTTACTTATATGAAGTGCCTGATACAGTCGTGTTATGAGATTTATGGTTTGTGTCTTATGTTCATAAGGATGAATCTTTTTATCTTATAACAAGTTAATGGTATAATTTTAATTTGTAATGTATATTTAACATTCATTTATGCAGTGTTGTCAAATTTGGGTGCAGAAATGAATGTCTTTTTTATACTTCGTTTTGTCATTGTCACTTGTAGTTCTATTTTACCGTTAGTCTTTAGTTCTGTTTAACTGTAAAATTAATCAATTGGTCAGTTAATTGATGTGAACAAAGCTAAAAAACAAAACATCCAGACTGCACATTCGAGAGACACCAGTGATTGAGTTAGACTGAGTAGGTGCCGCAGGCCATTCAGTTTTTTTGCCAGTACATAATCTGACAAGCTACCCAAGGTGCTTTCATAACTTTCAGCATTTATGCTTGGTAATTTCAAATACAGTATACTGAAAATGGCTGCAAGACACAATTGCATTAATACCTAAAAGCTTAAATAAATGGACATTTATAAGTAAGTTTGCCTTTGTTCTTAAGTGATGGACGTGATAGTTTGTACTTGTATATAGTGTGATGGTTTGTGTTGCTATATTTAAACAGCATTTCCCGAAAATATTATGTTTCTTTGTAATAAAATTATAATATCCGCCTTTTTTTCAGCTTTACTTGTTTATGAAACAAAATAAAAGCTAAAAATATTTTAAAAATGTGCCGAATAGTGGTTTCAGTATGTGAAAGGTAAATTTTAAAAACTATATTATCAATTTTATGTTATTATCTAGACTTTTTTTTCTTAAATAAATCAAGTCATTTTCACTTCAAAGCTCATTTGAACACATTATTATTATTATTTTTTTTTTGAGCAATCGAGCTTTAAAAATAAGTACACATCAGTACACAGCTATTTATGTTTCTAAAATTATTGTATATGATTATGAATACGCCCAATGTAAGTCAAGATTTAAAAAAAAATTTGTTCCTTCCATTTTCATATGTTACTTAATGAAAATTCCAGCTGAAACATGGTGTCCCATTGAGAAACAGGGAAAAAAATCAAACAAGAAGTATTCTGAAACTGGCACCTTCAGTATTGTTAAAAAAATGACACATGATCAAATTTAGATTTGCAATTCACTTAATGAAATATAATGGAGGTAAACAAGTACCGATATCAATTACAAGAGTTTTATTTACAAATAAACACATAGAACAAAATTTTTATGGTTTATAGTATGGATACACATTTTTAAAAATAATTCTGTCATGACCCCTCATAAAATGACCTCAGTTAGCCTGTTCTAAATTTGTATTCAGTTAGCTTAATTTTATTTGTGAGCACTAACTAGATCATCTTTTAAGGCAATGGTTATCTTAAAAAATGAAATGTCTGCAACAATAGATATCGGCTCCGTGTACTTATATAGAATCTTCATTGATAAAAGCTTTCATACACATGGTTTAAAAGTATGCCTAGCAAGAGTCTTATATTACATCATTTTCTAATACAACCACAGGACAGTCAAAACTGAAATTTTAATGTGCTGTTAAATGAGTGAAAAAATATTTAAAGGTTCAGGGAAATTTGACTTGTTTGGAACAGAATGGCACCGCACATTTCTGTGATTAAGTTAAGTGAGATATCATTACTCTTGAGGCGGATGGCTGATTCAGTTGCATGAATTCTTTTTTTCTCCAACATCAGTTTTGACCTTCATAATTTTTGTCCTGATATAATTCATATGCATGCTTTCCTGTGAGATTGATATCATACATAAGAGATATGCTGTCAATTTCCAGAGCAAAGGGGCCTTCAGCTGCATCCATAACAGTAATACCCAAGCTGTTCACTAAAGAAAGAATAGGATATTCCTGCCTATCTTGAATTCTACCGTGATGAGAGATATAAAATTTTGAGAAAGGAATCTGTGAAAATAAAATTTTGAAAAAGTTATTTCTTTTATTTGCAAAAACTACCACAATTCATAAATTTTCAAATTTCTAACTTTAAACTTAAGCTTTTTTTCTCTGCCCATTCCTTAATTGTTAAGTAACACTTGGTGTTGTTTTTTTTCCGACCATGGGTAACAATATCAAGAGAAAATAAATATTTTGAATTACAGTACTAAAAATAGGACTAAGATCATACAATTTAATACTATTTGTGTTATAATATAACATGCTTTACATGTAGACATTGTACTGGTAACCAACTTGAATATTGCTGCCATAAACAGTGAACACAGCTTGAAGGATTTGTTTATTAGTTTTAGATAAAATTATACTAGGGAAATAAAGAATTCTGCTCACTCCAAAGGAAATCAATTAATCCATTAGTCATCTAAGACAAATACATGAATTATTGATCTTACACTGCAAACCATGCATCCAAAATAGTTTATAAATAGAGGTAGGTGGGGATTAGCTTGCTATAATTGATGTGTAAATCCTAAGAAGTCATGCAAATATTCTGGGAAGAGTTAAACAATTTTCCTTCAAAATGTTAAAAAGAATAACCTTAGCAATCTGCCAGTAGGGTCCGCCTCTTGTAAACAAAGGACAACTCCAGCGGTTGAGCCAGTTGACATCATAATCAAATTTACAACCAAGGACAATTACATAGGGCCTGCCATCTCCTCGCACTCTGAACAACATGCAATTATACAATGACCAGTCCCAATGGGTTTCTCGATTAAAAGATTTCTGAAACAAAACACAAAAAAGTTAAATTTCCAAATTATATTTGGTGTCTTACATGAAACAAGTAATCCCTAATTTCAATAACAGGTAGTAGCTTACAACTTTGTTTAAAATTATCTGTATTACTGCATCTTAAAAACAAAAATCAAAAACAAGAAAGAGAGGCAAGTATATTTTTGTTGCTATTGTTTGATATTTCAATTGATGGAATAAAATATAAATATTAACTATAATGTGCATCTATTTACCCTCGGTGTTAAATTTGATATATTGGCATAACCAGCGTATTTAGTTACACCATCTTTAGGAACTTCCTTACAGAGGTAGCCATGAAACAGACCAGTTCGGTTTTTAGTGAAGGTGAAATTAGCTGAGCTTTCCCCACCTTTATAGTCTTTGTCTGTAGACACAATCCATCTATCTACTTCTGCCTTTTTGTCAAATCTAATAGATTTTAAAGAATGTGAATAAAATACAACAAATAAGCAAATGTCAAACAGTTTAATTCAGTGTTCTGTTTAATATTTTAAAGAACTGTTTCGAAAAATAATATATTTAATGTGAAAGCAAATCTTAAGATTTGGTTTTGTGGGACTTCAAACTTCCCGTTTATTTATTAGTTACATGATTTTTTTACACACTCCATTTTTACAGATCGATCGCTTATTGTAATTTATCTAAGAAGGTGTGCCAATAAAAAGGATAAAACACAATATAAGCTTTATATAAAACAACATAATAAGCAGATATTTGCTTATCTGGAAAACCTTTGAGATAACCAGCACAAAACAAGGTACAGATTTGCTAAGGAAATGTTCAAATCTTCCAGACATCATTGCATGCTTGCTATACTTTGAAGATCAATATTAAATTAACATATATAAAAAGCTTACCTATAGAGAACCTCATAGTTTCCATGTTCAGCACTTAACATTGGATTGAAAGCATAAGCTTCTTTTTGCTCTTGTATAAACTTTTTAGACTCTGGACCAAATTGTTTAAATCCTTCAATGAGGGCCTTACGAAATGGGAGCTTTTTAGGTGGTTCATCAGTCCCTTTTTTGTTTCTTTGATAGATTATAACTGAGCTTGCTCTTTGAGAAATAGTGAAATTTCTTGAAGGAACAACAAGCAAAGTCAAGATAATTTTTTTATTTTTTACCGAGATAAATCTTTGACTTTGGGTGGACATGTCTTAGGTGCTGATTTCTCCTCTGTCATGCGGCTAGAGCTTAAGTTAACACAACTCTTTTCTAAAATTTGACATCCAATATTTATATATTAGTAGGCCTTAATGGTAGGTCATCTGAAAATAAATTTAGTTATAAGTGGGTCATTGATAATAAAATTTACTTACTTACATCCTATTAAGCAGTTATTTGGTAATCTTTATAAATGTCTGGACATTTAATAAAGAAAAATCTTGTAATCATCCTTCTTATCGTTATCATTGAAGATAAAAACTATCTACTTTATATAATGCATCTAAAGCCTGTTTGTTCATAAGTTGACCCCCTCGAGTAGGCAATATGGTACTAAAGAAGAGAATAACATTTTTTTAAATTAAAAAAATAAGTATTGTACAACTAAAAGTACAAGTAAAAGACTTAAAACCAAATAAACATACTGGTACCCGGTAAAGTATAATGAATGTACGGCACAGTATAATAAATGTACGGCACAGTATAATGAATGTACGGCACAGTATAATGAATGTACGGCACAGTATAATGAATGTACGGCACAGTATAATGAATGTACGGCACAGTATAATGAATGTACGGCACAGTATAATGAATGTACAGCACAGTATAATGAAGAAGACATGTAAAGGCTTTGAGTGTTTAAACCACGCTGAACATTTCCAAAAATAGATGAATGTTGCTTGGTAAGAAATATGTGTTCGCCTTGTTTTTCCAAGGTTGTGCATTCTCCTATGAATATCAATAAAAAAGTGTGCTTAAGTGCTGATGGCAAATCTCGGTAATGTGCTAGTATCAGATATGCTCTGAATGTGGCAAATCTAGGTAATGTGCTAGTATCAGATATGCTCTGAATGTGGCAAATCTAGGTAATGTGCTAGTATCAGATATGCTCTGAATGTGGCAAATCTCGGTAATGTGCTAGTATCAGATATGCTCTCAATGTGGCAAATCTAGGTAATGTGCTAGTATCAGATATGCTCTGAATGTGGCAAATCTAGGTAATGTGCTAGTATCAGATATGCTCTCAATGTGGCAAATGTAGGTAATGTGCTAGTATCAGATATGCTCTGAATGTGGCAAATCTAGGTAATGTGCTAGTATCAGATATGCTCTGAATGTGGCAAATCTAGGTAATGTGCTAGTATCAGATATGCTCTGAATGTGGCAAATCTAGGTAATGTGCTAGTATCAGATATGCTCTGAATGTGGCAAATCTAGGTAATGTGCTAGTATCAGATATGCTCTGAATGTGGCAAATCTAGGTAATGTGCTAGTATCAGATATGCTCTGAATGTGGCAAATCTAGGTAATGTGCTAGTATCAGATATGCTCTCAATGTTCTAAAATAGATTTCAATTTTAAAATATGACAAAATGACAATTCATTATTAAATCATTGAATCTAATTGTAGGTACTCTGAAACTCTTACAGCACAGCAGTCGCAAAATGAGGACAAAACATGTAACCTAATATTCCACACGGCTTTATGATGACTTCTGTTAATTACTTTTCCCCATTTTTTTTCTAACATTGAAGCAATGTACATACAGAAAATAATAAAAATCTCCCCATTCTCCCAGAAAAATTTCCAAAAAAAAGTTGACTCATAAAAAAAGAGAAAAAAAAACTCCCAAAAACTTCCTCTTGTTATCAAAGACAAGTTAAAGTTAAAACACTCCAAAAATTTGCAAATAATTAAAATTTCTGAAAATGCTGTCTTAAATTGTTTTTTTAGTTCAAACAAGTCTGCTAAAAGTAAAATGGGGAGGGAAAACGGAGAGAATATGCCAAGAGAAACGAAAATATGAACAAAACTTAAACTAATTTCAGCCAGTACATTAATTTCATGGGGAACGTAGCAACTTAATTGTATCTCTCTAGATATGCGTCAAGAAGATTCAACAACCTGCTGTCACCCTCTTTCCTGTCGTAATTTCAGTTATTACAATAATTTCATCGCAAACGAAGCAACTTTATTGTATCCCTCTACACAAGCTGCAATGATATATGGACCATCAAAGGATGAATATGGATGGAGAATACAAACCAAACAGGAATTATAAGTCTATATCAGGATCCCACGATAGTATAAGAAATAAAATGGGTAGGCTATGCTGGGCAGGACACTTAGAGAGAATGCCAAATGACAGAGGGGTGAAGAGGGTACATCACCAAAACCCCAGAGGAAACGGCTCAAAGGCAGACATAGGCTTAGATGGATGGATGATGTGGAAAAAAATCTACAGCAGCTGGGAACCCAAGCATGGAAAAGAAAAGCATTAGTTGGGTCTGAGTGGAAAGAAGTAGTGAGGCAGGCCAAAGCCCTACATGGGCTGTAACGCCACAGGGACGGATAGATATGCTGCAAGAAGTGTCAACACCTGCTGACACTCCCTTCTCCTGACTAAAACACATCTGCTACAGTTTTACACCGTGGTAAGAAAATTGTAAAAATGAAGAAATAAAATACAAAATATTTGTTAAATTATCATGAAAAGCCAAGTTAGTTTCAGAGAATACATTTGTTTCACTATTGCAGGCTCCACCAAATAAAAGTCAAAAGTTGTCAGAGCAATCAATCAAACCCGCTCATTTTCCAAGATGCTGGAATTTAAATATTATAATTAAATGAAATTATAATTTAAAACATTCCATCAACAGCGTATTGATATTTAAAAAAAGAAAAGCTAACTCTAGTAACAATCCAAGAAAAAACAAAGGGAGGTGGAGCGGATTGCGTAAATTGACCAGAATCCCTTTAAATCAACAAAAATACACGATGAATTAATCGGAAAACAATAAATACTTGTTCTATTAAACATTGAAGTCATGAGTGAAGCGTTAAAGCAGGCACTTCAGTAAAGCAAGGGAGACTACTACAAAATTTTAATGGGAAATGATAGTCGCAGCAGAAGAATCCTAGTTTTTAATTTTGGGTGTTGGTGCTTTTTAATTAATAAAAGGACTATTTTATCTTACCACATGTTCACAATAGAGTACGTCTTGACCCATATTCCAACATACTGTTTTGCCTTATTTGATCGACCTTAATTTTATAAATTCATATGTATATATAAGGCATCTTTCCCTCAAAAACTTTTGATGAAGTAAAAATAATGATCTTTCATATTAAATATTGATGTATACATCTGCCAATTCTCATTGATGTAGGTCGTGTCCGAGGTTCATAATGCTTTTCCCCAGTAACCTGCATTATCGTACGGTTACTTAGCCCAATTTCGACCATGCCCCCTTTTTAATGGCAAAGATGCCATTACTTAGGAAATATTTAATAATTACCACTAGTTACATAAAAATATTTGATAACTTGTGTTTAAAAATGAACTTATAAGTTATTCAAACAAGAATATTTGAATTTGAGGTTGAAAACCTGGAAAAGTCCACCTTAAAAATGATCATAATTTGCAGTGTGCAAAAATGTTCATGGGCTACCATTCAAAGTCTTTGCATGTCTTATATTACTACAACATTATTATTAGTTGTCTTATATAGCGCTGTACCCCAGCCTAGGGTTGGGCTCACCACGCTGTACATAAAAATATTAGCAAACATAATCATGACAATAAAAAATAACATACATTTATTTAAATAAAGCACCTATATAACAACAAAACAAAAACAGATGCATATCCACACCACCCACCCCAGAATGTTTACTAGTCAAGCCATGGACAGCAACCAGCAGCATCGCTTATCAGCTATTAGGGGGAATCAGTCGGGATATTAGAGTTTTAAGAGATGTGTTTCGAGTGCAGTTTTGAAGGCCTGTATGGTCGGTACATTGCAGATGTGTAGTGGGAGAGAATTCCATTGTTTGGGGCGCAGAAAGAGAAAGATCGCTCACCATATGATTTAGTGCATGTTCTGGGAACAGAAAGAATATGCGTGTCTGTTTGATAACAAACAACTAATAAAGCTATAATTTAGTCCATTTCAATCACAAGTAAGTCATATTTATTTCCGAAGACACACATAACTTGGAAGCTTGACTAAGAAGTTGCAAAAGTGGACACCTGAGGTAGGTGAAATAGCTGAAGTTGAACTAGAGGAAGTCTCAGATGATTGACGTTTATTAATCATTTTCCCTTAATTTTCATGGCATCCGAGAACTGTCCTGCAAATATGCTTGGTATCAATATTTCCAGTCTTGTTGTTCGTTCTGTACACATGAAGATCACTAAGACTGGAGCAGTAGCCTTGACGTGAGCTGTATTTTGTTTAAATTTATGGAGAGTTGCTTAATTCGTCTGAACCACTCTCTCGTCTTTGCCTATTAGATTCAATGGTAAGATAAGTCAAGACGACTGGATATATACCAGGATGCAGTTGATTATCAGCAGTGTTTGTGTGCGTTTCACTATGCTCTTTATGCTTCTACATCATAGGAGCTTGTCAGAATTTTCATTTTCAATGTCATAAGGCCTATGGGACTCCATCTCCGGGTTTGATTTCAGAGTTTGCCTTCTCATAGATGAGTTGCCATTCATGGTTAACGAGTCCCATCTACCCGGCATGCTGGTGATGTTTTTGCTTGTCTAGGCATTTTCTGGGGATTGATCTCCAGTCCACTAGCTTGGGATGGACTAAATTCAGAGTCAATTTCTAGTATAGAGTAGCAGTGATGGCTTGTTCAATCAGGATTGCTATTTTAACTATCAGTCTTCTAAGGAACTGTTGGGCATTATTTTATTTACCCTAGACCCTGAATAGAATTTCTTGACCTGTTCATTAACTTTGTAGACTCATTTCACCCCTCCATTAAATTCACATCTCTTGTCTCTGAGACCTCAGTAAACTTTTTGGACATTACTGTCACTCTTCATAAAGACAGCCAACTCACCTCTGCCTACTTTAAGCCCACTGACAGCCACAGCTATCTACCATACTCTTCATCCCACCCTAAATCCTGTAAAGACTCTATTCCTTTTCTCAATTACTTCGTCTTCGCCAAATTTGTCTTTTGGGACAATAATTAAATAATAGAGTTAAAATTTAAAATTTTTCCCATTAAAATCTACTTTAAAATGCCTTAGACGTAGCTTTTTAAAATTATTGAACTGTCTGGAAAATTCTAGACTGGATATTATTAGTTTTAAATCCACCGATATTTCAATATGGACAATGAACGCTATTGCTACCACGCTAGGCCTATATCCATTAATTCACATAGAAACTATAGTGTTGTCTAAGCCTATTGATATTTATATTGCTTATGTAAGAAAAAATGAAATGGGCCAGCCCCAGAGGAATGGATATTATGAGTTCAGTACCTTTAGGTAATTGAATATGGATAATAAAGTGTATGTGTACTAAATTTGGTAAAGAGCCATCAACTCATGTAGGAGTATTTCTTTCAAATTATTTTTATATAGCTCATATAAGAAAAAACAACATTTTGGGCCCCCAGCCCCAAACCTAATGTAATAAAAAGTTCATAGTCCCTTAAGAGTTCCTTCCGGATAAGGATAGATATATGTGCCAAGTTTAGTCAAGATCCATCAATCCACGTAAAGCCTTTGTGGAACAAACAGACCAACAACAAAACAAACTTTAACTTTTATATATATACTAGCCTTTATACCCGGCGTGGTCCTGGATTGCATTAGGACCCCATTCTGGTGTGACCACCAATCCCATTTGGACCCCGATCCCATTTTGACACCGATCTCGGTGCAGTCCTGTTTCCCAGTGTGATCCCGATCAAAGTGGATCCATTCAAGGTTAGGATCCCAATCCTGGTTGGATCCCATTTTCTGGTGGGATCCTGATCCCGTCGGGATAAAGATTATGATGGATCCCAACCCATAGTGGATTCCGTATCAAAAAATTCCTCAGTGTTACTGAGAGAACAGTAAACTATGGGGCAGTATAGAAATGAATAGAACTAACTAACATTTCAATAATCCCTTAGATCCAACTATATATCCCCTTGTAACAATTTAGAACTTTCTGGAATATTCTAGATTAAATTTAAAAACCTGCTCGAAACATGTGTAAAAACTACTTTTCTAATTATTTTTTGAATCTGTTAAAAATCTTCAACAAATGCCATAATTATAATCCTTTTTCTTTTAAGTTAATCAATGGGCCCCAGGGTGCCCATTTCATAACTGTACCGATGTAGTTTTGCCTTAGGTGTGTGGGAAGGAGGGGGGGGGGGGGGCTATCAAAATCATTCAAGTAAATAAAGAGTTAAAATTTGTCCTATTAAAATGGGTTTAAAAATGCCATAGATACCTCCTTTTTAAATTATCGAACTTTCTAGAAAATTCTAGATCAGCCCTGCATGGATTGGATATTCTTAGTTTTAAATCCACCGATATTTCAATGCAGACGATGAAGTGTATTGTTACTACGCTATGCTTATATCGATCAATTGACATAGAACCTATAGTGTTGTCTAAGCCTATTGATATTTATATAGCTTATATAGGTACTCCAACTCAAAATTTCAGATTCATCTGACATACACAAGGAGCATATCATTGGAAAGAGCTGACTTTAAGCTTTCCATTGACACCAAGATAATCTTTCTATCACTTGTAGAAGAAAAGTTATGAATTTTTTAGTGATTTATTTTTTCCCACTATTTGGCTTTGTATTTAATTTTTAAAACTGTGATCTAATTATTACTCTTTTTGTACTATTTTGGTTGTATCTTGTTGGCTTTTAAAGTTAGACTGCTCAAATTTGGAGAACACATTTACAATACAATGTTTAACAAAATTAAACACATGAATTTTGAATTAACTTATTATATTTTTTGAAAAAAATTTTTATAAGCATATAGCATGGATAACGACAATTGTCGAACAAATTTTTTTTTTCAAAAAATGACATAATTATTAAACCAATAAAGCTATCACTATGAAATTTTCAATACAAACAGATAATGTCCATCTAAAAGTAAGGCATATTTAACATAAATAAAATACAGATCAGAAAAATTTATGCAGTAGTAGAAATAATATTTTATGAAAAGCAACTGCGGCCGAGAAATTTTTTACATTTAAATATACAACTTTTAAACTAATAAAGCTAATGCAATCAAATTTTCAGTAAAAATAGATAGTGTCCAACCAAATATAATAGAGTATTAAAATATATCAAAAGCAATTAAAATCATGCTATGCAAAATTTTAAAATGTCATGTAATCTGTCGACATTGTTTCGGCTCCGGAGGTCTAGCAACACTTCATCCTCATCAATTGGTACATTAAAAAAATATGCCTCCATTGTCAATATCAAATTGGGTTGTTTGTTGATCTCCTCCAAGTAAATACATATCAAAATTACAGGGAGTGATTACAATCTGTAACTCTGGAAAATAAAAAATAAAGATTAGGACTATTAATTTATGAATACCGGTACATGTAAATAATGATTCAATATTTTTAAATAGGCTTCACAATGTTCTTTATTATATGTACACTTATAGCTGATAATAACTAGGACTAGGGGATATCTTACTATCTAATTCATTGCTATTTGTATGTCAAAGCACTTTTATCACTTTGACTTTGTTGTTTTATCTCAGTATATGTATTAGTTTTATTGATCCAAAGCCTGCTCTTATATAATAACTATATAGGCCTAAAGTGTAATTATTATTAAAAACCAGTTATTAAAAAGTATATATTTAAAATCAAACTACTAAGTTATAATACAGGAAATATTTATTTAGTTGTTTGAAAAAGGTTTTAAATAATAATAACCACTGTTTACATTAGAGATTTACCACTTCCGGTAGATCGAGGGGGAAAAAATGGCCACGACTTGGCAACCTTGAATTTTTAGTCACACGGTTCAAGCTCTCATAAATTTTGGGGACGATCTATACTCTTTAAAATAAGTGTTTCTGCTTTTAAAATATATAATCTATGCGAACAAGTAATTTCCAAGTCCGAACGCGATTTGAAAAAAAAAATATAGCACAGCAAACTCACTTACCCCACGTCAACTTTCCAATTAATCGTCTCAGCAAGGTCAGATTTCCACTTAATTCATACCCTCGTAACCGGCATGCATCGCAGATTTAAATAAAACCAAGGAGAGTCCTCTATTTTTAGAAATGACGCAAAACAACACTAATCACCAAGATCTACCGAAAACGAAAAGCGCCGGCTGATCACAGCGATCGCCGCTCGGCAGGCCTCGTTTTTCTATCACGGGCGGCGAAAGTATTGGAGTGCCTAGCTTATATAAGTAAAAATGAAATGAGGCCTCCGGCTCCAGAGGGATGGATATTATGAGTTCAGTACCCTTCGGTATCTGAATATGGATAATCAAGTGTATGTGTAATAAGTTTGGTCAAGATCCATCTATTCATGTAAGAGTATTTAGATTGATATTTATATAGCCAATATAACAAAAATTAAAAGGGTCCCATGGCCCCAGAGGGATGGATATTATGAGGTAAGTACCCTTCGGTTTTTTAGTGAGGATAATCAAATGCATGTGTACTAGGGGTGTGCCGGACCCCGGTCCGGAATCCGGTTCCGCCGGATTTTGCACTATCCGGTGAAATCCGGTTCCGCCGGATTTACATGTATCCGGAACAACCGGATTCCGGAATCCGGAATATACCGGATTTCGGAATTTGCCAGATTTTGTGACTCACCGGATCATAATCTGAAATAAAAGTAATTCTCTTTCCCGAATTTCACACGATCACGATACATTAATCGATTGTTTCGAGCGTTGAGCTTGTTTAATGTTTAATATTCCGTACATACCAGAGGCTAGAGTCAGCACCGCTAATAGTGGCCAATAGTGTAGGGACTTTGATAAGAAAATTTAAACTTTTTGTAAAAATAAACCAATGGCATAGTTGAAAAGATGTAATTTTTTAAAGAATTATAACACCAAAATCATATTTTTAGCTGTTGTAGTTTTAAAGTTATGAATTTTTAAAGTACGACTTGGTTTGTCATTTTTTAACATGGACTGCATCTCCACATTCTGTGATCTCATTCCACCAATCCCGTCATGCGCAATGACTATATAGTTTATATAAGGCAACGCATTCCCTGCCTTATCACTAAAATACTGTTTAGACTTAGTTTAAACTTTCAACTTTGGCACATGAATAATTAATTAAAGCTTTCCCTGACCAATGGTTTAATAGTTTTTGCACACGGCAAACTCTTATGAATGAAACTCTGAGGTAGTACTACGATACAGTTATGCAAGTGGCTGTGAATGGTTGCCAATGACAACGTGTTGCACACGGTAAATTCTGATCATTTATAATATGGATTCTACCGGGTTGTTAAAGCTCAAATTAAAACATTCCAGTTTAAATGTCTTTAAATGCATTCTGAAACACAAGTTATCAATTATTTTGATGTAAATAGTGATAATAAATTAATATTTCCTAAGTATCGTCAACTTCCGCCATTAAAAAGGGGGGCGTGGCCAACCCCATGGCGAAATTAGGTTGAGCGAGCTGCATAACCTGCTGCGAACGCGTAGAAACATGGCGTCTCTCGTAAGACACTTATCCAAATGGAACGGAACTCAAATATATATCGAAAGTACTAATTTAATAATAAATAGACACACACATCGGAAAATTAAAAACTCGGATTTTTTGGCGCCGATTGCGAATTCCCATACACAAAAAGTAGTAGTCCACCTTGACTTACCGAAGTATCTACCAATAGTACCAAAATCCGGAATCCGGGAGAAACCGGAATCCGGATCCGGCGGATTTCGCATAAGAAAATCCGGATCCGGATCCGGTTGGAAAAAACGGATCCGGCACACCCCTAATGTGTACTAAGTTTGGTCAAGATCCATCTATGGATGTAGGAGTATTTTTTGTTAACATTTTGGGCCCCCGGCCCCAAACGGAATGTTATAAAAAGTTATAACCCCTTAAGAGTTTCTTCCGGATAATGATGGATATATGAATATGTGCCAAGTTTGGTCAAGATCCATCAATCCATGTAAAAGCCTTTGACTTTGTCATTGTGCAACAAACCCACAATATTCAAAAATATTGTTAAAATTAGAACGTTTAATTTTAATACCTAACAATGATTAATCCTGAAAATAAAAGTTGTATAAAATTATCCTTTAAATTTAAAGTAAACAAGAGTAAGAGTTATACTAAGTAAGTTATAGTTCTGGCGTGTGGCTTGACACAATCAGCGTAAGTAGGGTGTCGCAAAGTGTGGTGGTGCAGTCCTTAGTAAAAATACCAAACTAACTTACATTTTAAAAATTCTTAGCTTTAGATACTTTAGACTTAGAGGTAGGCTACTAAAGTGTCTAAAGTCTGGAAATTTGATTCTGGTTTCATTTTTTATTTGAAGTTTACTTCAAGTTCAAGTAAACTTCAACTTCAAGTCTAAGTCTATGCCGAAGTATCTATCAGGCCCGTCCGTCAACATACATATGCTTACATAATGGATTACCTTACTGTTAACCTTTTTTCTTTCAATGCATACAAAAAGTTAACTGTTCTAATGCTTCTATTCTTCCATTCTTGATATGAATGACATGTCCTTCTCGTAATTTACAAGAAAAATAATATAAGAGTAGCGTTTCTTGATTAAAAACTTAATCCTGCAATGAAAAACGAACAAGACATAACCTTAGACTTTAGAATCTTTCCCCGGAGTATAAATTAATTTCATATATAATGTTAATATTACGAGAAAATTTTCATTATTATTGAAGTCTTATTGTAAGTAATCATGATAAGTAATTTGATTTTAAAAAATGTAATTGACAGAAGCCACAAATCTTAAACTTTTTGACATTTCAGTGTTTAAAAAAAGGTCAAGGATTTTTTGGTGACCTCTCTTTCCTTCATCGCTAGTAGTAGTAATAGACTTTAACTACTTTAACTTTAAGAGAATACTTCATTTTTTTTAGGAGAGCCAGTCAAAATGGGAACCAGATCCTCTATGTTACAGGAAGAAGAAATTACAGAAATTCAGAAAGAAACTGGGTGTAAGACTTTTTGTTTATATTAATTTATAGAACTATGTTTTCAAGTTGGTCTCGTCTTTGCCAGAGAGACAATACAACCCCAAGGCCCAAGTACTAGTAGACTCATTATTCCCCGGGGCTCCCGTTGACAAGTCTGTGGTGGCTTGCCGATTAGGAGGCGTCTGCCACAGGCCCCCTTGACGTTACTCGGGGAACAAGACCACCATTGCGTGTCCCGTGTGAGCAGACAAGGGACATGCATGGTACCTGCAGGGCTCCTACAGGCATGCCATTCATGACCTTTCACAGTTGAAAGTAAAGGCAGAGACAGGGTAGGGATCATGATTACAAGTTGCTGTTAATGGATATGAAGAGAGAGGCTATAGGGGAAGCCTCTAGCCGATGATTTTACGTATGCAGCCCTGAAAAAGCTGCTTCAAGGCAACCGTTTTGTCCCAGCCACTTGTCAAACTAGTTGAGTGGTAGAAACCCGCTTATAGGGCATCCGACGCTTCCCCGGGGTGGGTGGGGGAAGATATTAGGACATAAATTTACCATCCCGACTCATAAGAAAGTTGATCGTGTGCACTGTGTGTATGCACAGTGTCAGACCGACCGGGTGTCCTTGGTCGGGTTGGGGCGGCCTACAGCGGAACCTGATCGAGCGGACTCAGGTGGGGGATTTCCTGGTAAAGGGACATCTCCAACGTGCCACTTCACGGCCAAATACCCGGGCTTTGGCTTTGGGGAGGGCATAATGAGCTTTAGCTTGACGGCCCGCTGATGCCATTTCCTAATGTGAAATTTCAGTAGACTCATTCATTTTTGTGTTAGTCTTGTTGATTGTGTTGTTGATAAAAATTTAAAATTGTATAGTTTTATCAAGTTGTAATATTGTTAATAAAATGAGTAAAACAGAGTATGGTTAAACCTGAAAAATTAAACGTAACAAAAAGTATGCTAGAATTTCCACACTTCTATTGCTGCCCACAGATACTACTTACCAGCTAAGTGCTATTTCTTATTTTTATAACGTTTTTTCTGTTGTTTTGTTCGCTGACGAAGGCTTTCTGCCGACACGTTCGCTGTTTTGTTACGTTTAATTTTTCAGATTTAACCATACTGTTTTACTCATTTTATTTTGTACTAACCTGATTGCAGTCTCTCCCCTTATTACCCCTAATATTGTTAATGTTGGCCTGGGCCAGTGGTCTGCAAAATTTTGCAAAGATTGAAGAGCCATTTTATAAATTATATCTTAGTGCTTGCTAAGAAAATATAAGTATAAAGTTTCAAGGGAGCCACATGTTGTTGGTGGGCCATATGTTAGTCTAAAGGATAAAATCGCCCAATCCAACTCCGGCCTTAAATTAAATCAGGCTGAGAAATCATTTTCAAATTAAAAACTGTCCATTAAAAATATAAAATAACTCCCTTAGATTTTCAATAGATCACATATTCAGGTTTCAAAAGCAACTGCTGTTTTTCAATACTATGAATAAAATATCCATAGCCAGCCTATTAATCTCATGTATATGTGAATATTGGTATTTGAACCCTAATGGCTTGGATTTATGACATCTTCATGCATTTCTCTCCATTGTTATATGACATAACTTGTCTTGTCATGTGTTGCTTAAAAAAATGTGTTGGCTAAAGGAAGACCTACGTATCACTGGATCTAGACACAGAGCAAGTAAAAAATAAATTATTCATACTAGAAATTATTGAGTCGATGTATAATAATCTAGATGTTTAAATAGCTAGTGTCATATTCAGTATATCCCATAACCATTTTAGTAATGCAAGCTGCACTACGGCATCATGTAGACTGCATAGTGCTGGTGAGCTGTGCTGCAACTTTCCCTAAGAAAAGTAAAACCTTTATTATTACATGTTCAAATGCAGTTTTCTTTCTTAGTCTCAAGCAATCAGATAGTCCGCCTCTACAGCAGATTTACAAATCTTGATAAGAGCGATCAAGGCTTTTTAAGGTACATGTTCTATTTAAAAAAATAAAAAAACTTAAAAATTCATCTTTCTATTAAATTGCTCAATGCAAAAATGTGAAAATGATCCTTTTAGAATGAAGATGCTTACAAATTTAAAAGTTTAAAACTAGTAATAAAATATTTGTGAGTATTCCTATAATACAATGTTATTATTTAATTATTTTTTTTTTAACTTTGCTTCTCAGAAGGGCTGATTTCCTGCGAATACCAGAATTAGCTATAAATCCATTGGGAGACAGAATAGTACATGCCTTTTTCAAAGAAAGGTAATATATACATAAATAGTTTTCTCAATTTATTAAGATGTCACTTTAAGATGTTCATTTGAATGTCCTTAAATATAACATTGAAAGATTTCTAAGTATGACATTAGTTTTTTTAAGGAATGCTTCAATTAATTTCATGGGAGTGTTTTTTGCACAGGTATTATTTTTTTAAAAAAATATTACCGGTATAAAATTTTTTAACCATTTTATAACATTGAGGGTATATTAATTTATTGATATATTTAATCATAAATAGTAATAATTTCAATTTACATTACAAATATTTTCAGTGATGCATTATATTGCAATAAATATTTTTGTTAAAAACAACATACTTATCAATTTTTCTAGCAATTCTGATACTGTAAATTTTCGTGAATTTATGAGAGTCTTGGCACGCTTCAGACCTGTGAAGAAAAATGCACAGAAAAATAAACTTAATGACAGAGAGGAAAAGTTAAAATGTAAGTTTGTTCATACTAAATAATTAAGGTAACATTAAATCAACTACACATTGTCAATGGTTAAAATAATTTACATATATATTTTAAATTCTTTAAATATTGAGGTTTTTTTTAGCATTTAATTTTTGTAAAAATGTATTACTTAACTAATTAATAATATTGTAATGCATAGAATTTTAACTTAATTTTTTATGATTTTCAATAGTTGCATTTAAAATGTATGATCTCGATGGTGATGACTTGATCTCACGTGACGAGTTGTTAAATGTACTTCACATGATGGTTGGTGCAAATATCTCTGATGAACAGGTTAGGATGGGCTATGAGTCTCTTTTTATATTTTTTAAGCTTTGATTTTTGTTTTGTTATATTCAAAGGTTAAGATAATTTAAATGTACATAGTTTAACTTTAAAGTGATTTTTTTAGAGGGGCTGGAGAGTATTTATAGATCAATACCTTAAAATAAATTAGTTGAAATAAGGTCTAAACAAATTTGTTAGATGTCAGCTTACCCCAAAAATGAAATACAAACAATTTTAAAGATATTTATTTTTATAGTCATAATTATTTCATTAAAAAGACAAAAACATTTTCCCTAGTTTTAAAGCCTGTATGTTAGAATTTCATTAAGTTAATTACTTAAAGTTAGCTCAGTAACAGCTGCTGTTCACAAAGATAATATTGCGCATGTATTCTATATATAACAGATATTTACATTTTCTTACTGGTGGTTTTAATTTTAATACTTAAAAAACTCATGGGCACACAATTCATTAAAAAAATATAACTTGGAAAACATATCTATGCTATAACATTAAAGTTCTTATAAGCAATATAATGTTAACAACTTGAATACAAAAATCCAGAAAGCAAGAGGTGTCTTCTTCTTCTTCTTCTCTATCTTAAGTAAGGGCCCACGATCCATTTATTGATCATTTTGGCTCCTATGCATGTACATGGGATTTGCAATGTTTCTGTTAACTGGTGTGGATGAGGAAATCATGCACCAGGGGTTTGAAGGCTTGAGGCAATAGACACAAATGTGTCTAGTGTTGTCGCCTCAACCGTTCCTTTTGAAAGATTGTTCCAGTCCCTGATTGTCTTGGGCAGGAATGAGCAGCTCCTATACTGGCTTCTTGCTGGTATGAGCCTGAATTGCCTGTCATGGCCTCGTCGCTGTCTATGTGTTAATACTGGAACAGTGGACCAGCCCATTATTTATCTTGTACATCATGGAGAGCCTGGATTGTCGTCGTCGTTTCTCCAATGGTGACCAGCCTAGTGTTTCTAGCATGCTGCCAACACTAGAGGTATTCCTGTAGCGGTTTAGGACAAAGCGTGCTGCTCGTCGCTGGACCGCCTCCAATCTGTCAATGCTCTTCTGGGTAAATGGGTCCCAGACTGAAGATGCATAATCTAAAATCGGACGGATAAAGGCTTTATATGCTCTTTCTTTCACACAGGAGTTGCCAATCTTTAGATTTCGCCTTAAGAAATGCCATGTTAAGAAATATGTGGTGGTCTCAATCTTCTGCATTAAAACAAAATTTAAGAAGCTTTGGGTCCAGTGTATAAAATCTTTGGGTCCAGTGTACACAATTTTTGGATCGAGTGTACAAAATACAACTAAAACATGGAGGCAAACAGTGGCAAGCAATAAAAATGTTCAGATCCTCATCAAGAAATACTTGAGATGAATATTTAACATCAAATGGACGGGCTGAGTATAAAATGAAAATGTTTGGTAAAGGACCAAAAAGGTGCTCAAGTACCCTGCAGAGGCTAACCATCTGAGGAATTTTTGAGTAACCGATTAGAGAAAATAATTTTTAAAATTCATTAATTTTTAAACAAAAAAATTATTTGGTAATTTTAAAGTTTTGGCAATAAATAAATTTACCTATTCCCAACTGGTGTAACTGATGCGCCCGAAGGTCTATCCGCATGTCCTGACACACCTCACTCATTGTTATTTGAAAATAGCAATGAAATCATGCGGCCTCCTGTCACAGTAGTATTGATGTTGATGTGATTAATACCAGGCCGCTCCTCCTCTCTGTGATAGTTCACTAATCCAGACGTTGAGGAATACAACGAAGACAACACAGAACCCCAATGAATGACCAAGAAACTCCTCAGCACAGTTATAAATAATAGAATGTATTGATCAATCTAATAAAATCCAGTAATGTCTCTTTTCCAACCATTAACACTTTGCTACTTGCCTGTCTCTAAGTCTATCATTGATTATAGTCATTAACACTAAATCTGTCACTGCCTGTCTCTAAGTCTATCATTGATTATAGTCATTAACACTAAATCTGTCACTGCCTGTCTCTAAGTCTATCATTGATTATAGTCATTAACACTAAATCTGTCACTGCCTGTCTCTAAGTCTATCATTGATTATAGTCATTAACACTAAATCTGTCACTGCCTGTCTCTAAGTCTATCATTGATTATAGTCATTAACACTAAATCTGTCACTGCCTGTCTCTAAGTCTATCATTGATTATAGTCATTAACACTAAATCTGTCACTGCCTGTCTCTAAGTCTATCATTGATTATAGTCATTAACACTAAATCTGTCACTGCCTGTCTCTAAGTCTATCATTGATTATAGTCATTAACACTAAATCTGTCACTGCCTGTCTCTAAGTCTATCATTGATTATAGTCATTAACACTAAATCTGTCACTGCCTGTCTCTAAGTCTATCATTGATTATAGTCATTAACACTAAATCTGTCACTGCCTGTCTCTAAGTCTATCATTGATTATAGTCATTAACACTAAATCTGTCACTGCCTGTCTCTAAGTCTATCATTGATTNTTTTCCCCCCCCCCCCCCCAGTCATTTGTGACACCCCATCCCCCCTATAAATTATCTAAAGAAGCAATGGAGCGCCACTGTTAAACCCACCCTCAGTCATTTGTGACACCCACCCACTCCCCCTGTTGATTGCATGATTCTGCATGATTTCAAAAAAGAAAACATGAAGTTTAAAAAAAAATTTACGTTTAATCTATGTATGATTTTTGTATATTAGAATTATGCAAAAATTAATTTTGATCTATGCCATAACCATTCTAATTATGGAGAATGCTGTAAGAAAAGTTATTTTTCTGATTATAAAATTTAAACATGGTTTTCTTGTTTCTGATGCAATTCATTATTCATTATTTTAGATTGTTCTTGTACTTGACACTCTTTTCTAAGTACATTCAAAGTTTCAACTCACTGTCTGGAAATTAGACTTTTTGAAATGTATTTATTATGTAATAATTATAAATTATAAGATTAAGTTTATGTAAAATACTAATAAATTTATTCATATGCAAAATATCTCTTCCATTAGCTTGGAAGCATTGCAGACCGAACTATTTCAGAGGTTGATCTTGACGATGATAAGAACATTTCTTTTGATGAATTCGTTAAGGTAATGTATACTCATTGCTTTTTACTCCATTTGTTAACTTAACCAGAAACATGTAATGTTGCATTAGTAGTTATGTGATTATCTTATATTGCAAAAATATTACATCAAAGTTTATTTATGTAACACATTCAATGATTTGTAGCAGAGGTGTACAATGTAACAATATGTTTGCACTGTGATGTATTATTTTCCTTGAAATATGTTGAATTTTGATCCGTCAAATAAATCTCTCTGAATACATTCATTATTTCAGGCAATGGAACGAGTGGATGTTGAACAAAAAATGAGCATCAGGTTCCTGAATTAGATCAATTTCAATACACGGCCATCATCGTCTGCTACTAATAATGCACACTGACTTTGTCCATTATTAAAGATTCAGTCCCCCGAAAGCATAACAAAAAGCAGATGTTTCTTTTAATAACATGTATGTACCATGGGAAATAACAAAATTGAAAATATATAATTAACTATATTAAAATCCCTTAATTTTGTCTAAAGACTGCTTATTATTGTTGCTATACATTCCAAAATATCATTTTTGTTTGGTTGTTTTTTCAAAGGCTAATAAGCTATTAAAATTGAAAAGCTCAATGCTATTGAAATGTGTCATTTATTGGGTATGTCCACAATTTTGTGAAACAGTGTAGCTTGCTCTTGGACACCTTCCACTTTTTTTTTCACTTTCTGGGAGTTCTTAATTTCTGTTTGATTGTCCTAAACTCTATTCAAGTAAGTATGGGCAATTATAACAGACCCAATAATAATATAATTTATTTTGTTAAATTCAAAATTAGCATACTTTCTGAAAAAATTTCTTTCCTTTTAATTTATGATGCACTCATTCAGTCAATGTTTACACAGCCAAATCATCACAGCGACCATGAAAGCTGAACAACCTCACTTGCTCTTTTTCCCCCATTTTTTCTAATCAGTCGTACCCCATGGCATTCTTCATTGAACAAGTGGTATACTTAAACTGTAGAATAATTTATCTTCAAATCAGTCTCACTGGAAAGAAAAATTTGTTAAATGAAGGTTCAGTTGTAACAGCTAGTCATTTAAGAATAAAATTGTACATGTTATTGGAGAACATTATAATTGTAAGGGAAACATCAGAAATTAAATGTATGCTTTCCTGGTATTTTTTATACTAAGATGTGATGATCTTTAAATAGATTTGTAAATATTTATTTATATGAGGGTAGGGATTGTAACATTGACATTTTTTGTTAGTTTCATAATGAGTTTCAGTTTACTGTTAAAATTTTTAGCAATATGGTTTGATGTCATCCTCCCCATGGAGACAGCAAATATTGCTTTCAATCTCACAAAAATACTTTGTCACAAAGGCTGGAAACAAAATTAGTCTCCCATTACTGATACAGATATGTTTTTAAACTTAAATATTTATTGATAGGATATTTTTATGCTTTATAAATCTAGTTTACATAGTGTTCATATTAAAAAAATACTTTTACTGACCTTTTAAGATCAATACTTCATGCAACCTACTTCATCCCTTTAGTAAATTAATTTATAAAAAGTATATCTTTTTAATGGGAGGCATTCATGAGTATGGGCTCAAGATTCTAGTAATTTTTTTAACAAAAAGTATTCCACTTTTCTACTACTTGACTCTAAGAATTTTTATGTATATACCAGTTATTGAAAAAGTTGCATTTTTTTGTTATCTCTTATTAGTCTTATTGATATTGCATTTTATTTTAATCTAAATTTAATAGTCTATTGTATTTATTTCTTTGCTTATAGTTTTCTGAAATTGATGAAAATACTTTTAATCAAACATCAAAATATAGTTCATCTGGAATTAAGATCAGACATCTGCACCATGTAAAAGATTATTTCAATTCTGTTCACCAAATTATTTTGTGTATTCACGAAATTAAATAATCCATGAACCGTTTCTATTTTTAAGTAACATATTTTTGAATTTAGTTTGAAATTCTATCTCATTGTATTTTCAAAAATGCTCTTAAACTTAAATTTTAAATAAATTATGCATTTTATTATTTTTTTGAAAGAGCTGTGTCATCTATAATCTTTTTATTCAAACATTTTTATCAATGGTACAATTTGTCAAATGAAAAAAGTTACTCTGTTGGTGTAAGTGAAATAAAAACGTCAAATACTTATTAGAGTATCCAATTTATTTACTTCAGATGTGGTCAAAATTGGGCTTAAAGTGCTTGAATCCAAAGACAGCAGTGCATAATAAAAGTTACAATTAAAGATAAAGTATCTATTCTGAAGCAATTCTTTTCTATTACTTTACTGGTAGTTAATTAATTATTTGGGTCAAACTCGATACCAAACTTACACAAAACATGATTTTATCATTGACAGTGTTTGATTAGTCCAACATGATCTTTCCATTGACAGTAGTGTTTGATAATTCCAACATGATCTTGCTATTGACGGTTATGTTATGACCTTAGAATGTAAACTCAGTGTTTCGTCTAAAAGTTGAAAACATGATACAGATGGAATCAAGAAGAAAATACATGATTCAGATTGAATCAAGAAGAAAATACATGATTCAGATGGAATCAACTTCACATAATGAAACAGATCCTGTTAGATGAGAGTGTTGTCTCATGGTGTTATGTCTGATGCATAAATGACAGTTAAGAATCATCATGATCTTTACTTATCTGAATTGCACTGTAAGAGTTAATTTGAAGAAAAAAAAATCAATACATTTGAAACCATCCAAACAGTTTATTGATCAGCACTGAGACATCATAAACAAAAGAAATATTGTTCTACAAATTCTTTTTAAGTATAAATCATAAATTAATAAATATCATAAATTGCCAATAAAAAAAAACAAACAATCTGTTCCTCTCTTTAATGGAGCACTAATCTGTGAGAAGTTACTTGATGGATTTAATATTTGGAGAGACCAAACTGCGTTTGTTGAAACAAAGCCCCTTAAAATTAACCAAAAGGTTTCAAAAGCTGCTGCAGTTTTGTATGAGAACACAACTACTTTTAAATCTTGTATATTGTTACAAATAGGATATTCCAAAAGCGTATACAGCATGCTAAATTCAAAGGTTATATTATTCTCATGCATTAAGGTTGTCTCAGGAAACTAATGTTTGAAATTATTATTTATAAATGAAAATTATGATCATAATAAAATAAATGCATGCAGAATTTAAAATTATTTTTTTTTTCTTATGCTCTTAGTACAAGCTTGGTAGCTCTTGATCCCTCTTAGCCTTACACCGTCAAATGAATTAAAAAGAATAATTGAACTTTACAGAAAAGGTTTAACAATTCACCGCTCCAAAAAGCCCTTACTGTAAATTGTAACAATAATTAATTGTAATACTGACTGAGCCACAAATATGATTTTAACTAGCTTTCCCCATAGCCATAGACTTTGACAATAATAACAAATAAATAACGTGGATACTATTGCAATGACAGTCCCCAGTTAGAGAGAGAAACTTATTTGAAGAACTGTATAACTTGTACATTGTTGTACATTCATATCACATTACAGAAGGTATCGAATTACTGGTTGATCATATATTCAACAAAATTTACAGTTAATTGCAGAACCAAAAAAATGTTTTTCTTTAAATCAAAGTGACAGCCCTTGCTTTCAATTCAAGTTCATGTTTTGATGATGCCATAACTGGTGTTGGCAGATCCAGGTTGACTAGAGGGATCAACTCATTTCAGGAAGAGCTGGACACGGCGAGTTTCTTCAGGTGATCCATGAAGACCTGTAAACTGACATCATCGGTCAAAACAGGCACAGATCCTTCCTGTTTGCAAAGAGAGTTTTAAAACAGAACTTGTTAAAAATGATAATGGTATTGTTAAAAATGGATATTAACTTTAACTGTGTGTAAAATAGTTCATGGCTAGGTAACAGCAAATCTATGAAAAACAAGGACAGTTAGATAACTTTGTCAATTTATTTTTTGTTGTTAATGTTTTCTCTCTTAAAAAAAATTTCTTTCAACTAAACAGCCTTTATTCATGTCATAGGAAAAGTTTAACTTAGCAGAAATACACTATATTCTCTCTATACATTAGTATTAGCTCTAATAATTTTAACTGAATAGGAAACAAAACAAAATCTATCACCAGTTCCCAACAACCAAAGTGATAACTTTTGAAAAGCTTAAAACTTGTTTGACATCATGCATGTTCAAATAACACAGAGTATGAATTTTAAACCGTCACCTTGCCATTACAGTAAGAACTGCTCACTGAAAACTTAATAAAACAAAGAAAAACCTTCCAAATTTCATGAAAAAATATATTCACAACAAATTTCAGGACTGGACACCAGGTTATGTCTTGTTGCTGACCAAACTATGAAAAGATGTCCCTCATATCCACATTAGTTCACAATACGAGGTTTTAGTGAGAGCATAATTCATAGCTGTAATTTTAACATGCTGAAAGTTGATCACCTGACTGACTTTCACTTAGCATTAAGTTCATTTTAAACATTTCCTTTGTGTACAGAATGAAGAGTAAGCTCAATTGTTTTATTTTAAAAAGAATGTTTCTATGAGTTTATATTTGTTAGCTACTCTGGATGAACAAACATGGCACTCTTTGACTCCTTACCACAGTTTGCTTATGTGTCTGTCCAAAGCATATGTCTGTTTTGAAGTATTAATTTCTTGCTATAGAGCTAAATGACTTGTACAAAATTGAAAGCCATTGATCCAGTTTTTAATTCCCTCTTATTGATAACCACAAAAAAAAAAAAGGAACCCTAAACATCTTCACCACCAAGCCAATTCTCATTCCTGCCCGCCTATGAGTACAAGTAGGCCCATATATTATTGGAACATTTTTTTAAACCAAAAATTGTATACTCATCCTTTCTGAAAAAAAAAAAAAAAACAACAACCCAACATCCAGAACGACTACATCTAATGTCATGAAGAGTTAATTTGGGGGATCATTTGTAGCAGTTTGCATGAGTAAATGAAAGACTCCATAACTCAAATGAAAAGATTCCACCAAGAAGCACATGATTAGCCCTATGCCACAAATAAGCATTTAGTACAGAGGGACAGTTGATAAGTGCATCAATTGAACTGAAGCCCTTACAAAATAATAACAAAGCTGAATATTTCTTTAAAGAGCATTGTGCCATAAATGAGCACAGACTAAAAATTTCAAATATAACACACATTTTTTCAACCCATAAATAAGGAATGTAAAAAAAAATATTCAAAATGTTAATGTTTTGTAAGGTCAAAAAGATCGGGAAAAGGTTTTAAAAAAAAGATTGGTGATTATAATTACTCCTGATTCATGTCCTGGTCCGCCACTCATGATAATCTGATATTTATAAGTGTAGTTAATAGATATTTACAGTAAACCTAATTGCTATTCAATTATTTTGTTGTGCCTAAATTAATTTAATGGTGATACATTTGTCAAAGGTTTCTGATATACAGACATCCCCCATTTTTCTTGACATCATATTTAGAAGATAACATACTTGCATTTCTCATTTGTCAATGAGCATTTCTTTTGACTCTTCTTTTACAGAACCCATAATTTATACCATATTTTCCAAATAAAAATTTTAAGTATTTAAATAGTGTGTGTTATTCACATTTTTTTTCTTCCAGAATACATTTTGAAAGCTAAAAAAAAAAAAGAGCGAGGTCTCTGATCTATTGAAATCTTTTTAAGGTAAAAAGCAAAAA